TCAGGTTTGAAGGTATCAAATCGCGGGTTTGCACATGAAATATACATAGAAAAACCTTTAAAATGAGCCATCATTCGATGTATCCCATTGTTATTTAAGGGTTTTATGCTACAAAATGTGTTTTTTATTCAATCACAATTATCGGAAAAACCTCATTTTTTAAAAATCTGAAATTTTCACCAAAAATCATTAGTAAGATGATGAAAATTTTGGCGGCAATTAAAGTTATTACTTCGTAGTGGTTGACTACATTTTGATGGGTGAAATAAGCATGTTGCTGAAAATCTGAGGAAAATGTTACCTAATTTCCCTTCAATCAAGATGTGGGTGCTGACCGTCTCTTTGTCGATTTTTTTTCCTCAAAATAGATCTTCAGACGAACATTTTGAAGAAAAAATCATTGGAAAATATCGATAATTACGGGAGTTATGACTTTTATTAAATTATTTTCTCTTTTTAAATCAATAAACTGACGTGATTTCCTTCCAAAAGAAAGAAATAGTCTTCCTTTCCGGTCATTCATATTTTTCACCAGACAAAACCCTCTGATCATGTAGATCCCTAGTGTACCCTCTCATTGAACTGAATGTGACTGCACACGGCTCTTCCGAAACACCTGCCTAAACGTTCAGTGTTTTTCGCCGAGACTGCCAGTTTCAAAATAAATCATCGACTACAAATATTTTTTTAGTTAGTAAAGTGATAATAAATTTGTGTAGAACGAAAATTGTAGAAAGATTGAATTGTTTGCTTCGATTACACATCGATCATGGCAGCAGTTTCGTTCAAAAATTCTGAAAAATATAATTTTAACCTCAAAATCAACTTTGAACTAGTTTTGTTATGGTAATAAATTGACTTGATTTCACTCACAAAAGTACAGGCTCAAACGGAATTCCCCAATGTTATTGGAAATATGAAGATTTTGAGTCCACAGCAGAACAGTTATTGACAATTAATGATCTCAATGTTGAGGAATCTCTCCAATTACAATTTATCAACCCTGTTGCTGAGTTTTTTTGTGAAACACATCTGCGTAAAAAAATTGAATTATTTTTGCATAACGAAAGATGTTGTTCTGACCCAACGCAGAAACACAAAACAATTATCAAGAAAAACTTGACAGTGGTGTCCCTGGAGCTTTATGGAAAACATAAATCTCGGATTATTCCCACACCTGGGCGAAAATTATGCATGAAATGTTTATACACACATGTCCCTTTATGGTATGAGGAACATCCGTCACCAGTATTGACACAAATATCGAGCAGTTCATCTTCAAGGTTTTATTGTTCTCCTGGCTTCATAAGTTCCAAGGGTGAAATTCAAGAAGCTAGGAATACAATAGATACAATAGCAAAAACTCTTCAATTACCTCCCATTTGTATGAACGACTGGAATCACGAAGTAAGTGTTACATATAAAAATATAACTCAATACGTCTGATTTAATGATGTTTTCAAAAGTTAATTGTTCCATCTTTTCAAATTTTAGCAATGTTTGAAGGATACGTATAACTTGATTATTGAAGTTATCCAGAAAAAATTTGAAACCGCGGGAAACTTGGAGAGAAATTCCAATGAAGAGACTACAATTATATCGCAGCTTGCGTGAAAGAACCCCACGGACCTTCAAGTGTGTATAAAGATTCCTCACCATTGAACCTCATAACTACACCTTTTGAAAACATTTTGTGGGAAGTAACTCTGAAGAGATCGAGTTTCAACACATTTACCATTCCTAAACGCGTCGAAAATGCCATCTCCCGTAAATTCCTTAATTTTCAATTCATGAAAAGCACTTGAAATTTATATTTTCATTATTAATAAGGAGAATAATAAAAGGATTCACTTCAGAGATTTGGCATCATTATTTTCAGCAAGAAACAAACTCAATTTCCTTATCCACTATCTCTCCCATCTTATGACTCATGGTAAAATCATAAAATCGAATGGTAATAGATAGAATTATAAGGAAAGCTTGTTATTCGCCAGTATTTTTCTGAAAATCCACTCATTCCTAAGATAATTCGACGATAATTCGAAAATCATCTATAAACTCATTGATTAAAAAAAGGAAAATAATTTTTAAAAAATCATAACTCCCTTAATTATCGATATTTTCCAATGATTTTTTTTTTCAAAATGTTCGTCGGAAGATCTACTTTGAGGGAAAAAATTGACAAAGAGATCATCAGCACCCGCATCTTGATTTAAGGAAAATTAGGTCACATTTTCCTCAGATTTCCAGCAACATGTTTATTTCACCCATCAAAATGCAGTCAACCACTGCAAAGTAATAACTTTAATTGCCGCCAAAATTTTCATCATCTTATTAATGATTTTTGCTGAAAATTTTGAAGTTTTAAAAAATGAGGTTTTTGAAATAATTGTGATTGAATAAAAAACACGTTTTATTGCATAAAACGCTTAAATAACAATGACGGCATCGAATAACAGCTCATTTTTAAGGTTTTTCTATGTATATTTCATGTGCAAAACCGCGATTTGATACCTCCAAACCCGAATTAGATACTGCTGAAAACTTGAAAAGAAAAATCACCTGAAAATATGCATCGAAGAAAACGAAAAATTTTCAAAACATCATCACTTCCTTAATTTTCTATATTTTTGGGTGATTTTTTTTTAAATGTTCGCATTGAGACCAACTTTAAGGAAAAAAATCGGCGAGAAAATCCGTGAGATCGACTTTTTTGGCCTTGGGTTTTGACATGGATCTCTGCTCATATACGTATGATAGATTTATGTTTGAACTTTCTGTGATTATCTCAATCCGCAATGTTCCACTAAATTTACGAATGTATGAACATGGTCAAAATAGTGACGAGACTACATCAGTGATGAATGAAAATTATTCTGAATAATTTGAATGGTTGATAGCTTTAGAAAGAACTAATAATTAGAAATTTGGGTATGTTAAAGTCGAATCATCGGTGATTTTTAAATGAGTAGGGTTTGTTTCATAAGATTGAAAACATAAGTGTTTGATTGAGAATTATTATTAATTACTTTACTTAGAGTCTTGCTTCACATTTAACGATTAAACTGGCTATAGTATGATCCACTGAACTCTCACGATACTAGCTAGTCTAGGAAGATACGTAGAAGAGTCATAAAGTTAAAATGAGAGTTATATAAAGAAATGCATAATAACGTTAAGAAAAAGAAGTGAAGTTTTCGTTCTTTATATAATACGTTTTCGTTGTTGACAGGCAATGAATATAGTTGAAGCTGCATGAGTATTTCTATCGTATGAATCACAGAAACGTGACGATACTGGCTAGTGCAATAAGAGAATAGAAACGAATTGATGAAACTAGTTGATTTAAATTTACTATAATAGTTGATGAGCTGATAACGAGATGAGAATTGCGAATTTTAGTAATAAACCTAGGATATGTTCAAGTACCTTCATGAACAAACGAATATTTATAACGTTAAGTAACGAAATATTTTGAAGTTTTTTTGACGAACTTACTATTTCAGGAAGTTTATTGTAGAATTCCACATTATAATCGCAGCATATCATTATAATTTTGTTGAGAACTTTTTCATAAGTATTATCGTTCGGACTTCACATTTATAGAACAATACCTTACGTACTGATTCATGTGAAGTCTATTCACTTAACCGAACAGTACTGATAAATATGTTTATCAGACTGATGGATTGAAATGTTTTGGGTGTTCAATTTCCTTCTATTTAATTGTGATTAACTGATAAGTTTATGTTGCCGGCAGGCCAAAGTTAAGACAATATACTGTGAAGAATTTGAATAATGAAAATGAAACGTTTATCAACTGGATGAACTTATTATTGAGATTTTTATTAAACTCACAAAAGCAAAAAAGAAATTCGATTATTTCATGAGGAAAAATACCGATCCTGAAAAGGAGGAGAGCAACCGGCCCTTGACTTATTAAATACATCCGACCCGTGATTTGTTCAAACCATCCGGCCCTTGGCTTCTCGTAATTATCCGGTCTTTATCCGTCAAAAGTTATCAGGGCCACATACGGCAGATGTAACTTGGCCCGGGCCTGCCAATGCATTTCAACACTAACCGGGGCCATATGAGCGGTTACTATATGTACCGGATGAGGGCCACTGATGGGAAATAAGGCAACCATATCAGCACCTGATGTGGCCCTTATTGGAATTTCGAGTCGGGAACTTTCCTTAGGTAATTGCTGTGATGAATGTTTTGATTATCTCATCAATGGATTGAGAAAATTGAGAATACCAATTGACGATTCAGGGTGACAATAGGAATTGGTTCAAAAAATGTTGGGGAATTGATGATTATCGCCGATTTCTGCATAACGGACATAGTTGTATTTTTAAATAATTCTCCTTCCACGAATAAAAATTGATGAAAAATTTGCACGTCAAAAAAATTTTCTAATCAAATGGCTTTTTTTCTATAAGGAAAATAGTTTGCATCGTATTTCATGCAATGGATTGACGTCATATTGCAGAAATGATTTTCTCCTTCATAGGAACGGAATGTACACTAGCAATTTCCTCCGCTTCACAAACTGAATTATGTGGTGATTTACCAATTGGCAATTTCCAAACCGTCTACAGGTTTCGTAGGTACCCATAAAAATCCAACTACGCACTGAAGTGCCTGAGATTATTTCCCCCTGTAAGTATCACATCAAGTTTTATTGACTCGATAATTGTGGGGTCCACCGGAACGATCTGTTTAGAATAGGCGAAGTGACTCTGGTCTAGAGAATTTAATGCACAATATTTGGAGCAATTTAAATAGAAAACGGAAATGTATGTATGTATATGAGTTTGGATTAGATAATCATCCGACAACTAAAGATAATATTTTATAAATGATTAGAAATGATTCGGACGTTATGAACGACTTTTTTGGCTCGTGTGAGAGAGAATGGAATGTTCTAAGTAGTGATTTACTTTTGTATTTTAGTCGCATGAAGATAGGCAAGTGTGGAAGCATATCCAACTATAAGTCGGTAATGGATAGGATAGGGCAAATTAGGGGAGTAATGACTAGATGTCCGAGCCGTTATTCACGTTCATAGTTGGCCGCGGTCTGGTAGTAAGTGCATCTGGTTTTTTCACACAACTCAGGGCGCGTTAAATGATCTCATCCTTGCAGTTTTCCTAACTTTTTTATTCATTTCAGTTTTTAAATTTCGTGTTGATCCCGTTGCGTCAAGTGACAATGAAGGCTCTTAAGGTGTTGTTTCTTGCAATTTTAATGATCAATTTTTTCGAAATCTCGGCGAGAAGGGGCCGAGCAAGGAGCCGGAGCAAATCTAGAGTGCAAATTGGATTACCAATCACCGGGAAATACAGAGATCCAGAGAGTGATCAGTATTACAATAATAATAATGTGCGTTCGAAAACAGTGGAAAATATAATTCTTGATATATGTCTATCACTTCGACATTAACAGAAATCGAAACCAATGATAACAATCATGGAATATTATTTCATTTCGTCTTTGAATATCATTCTACTTGAATGATTTTTCCTATGATTCAGGGAGCTAAAATCCTGTTGGCATCACATTTCGATCTTGAATATGTCCTGGGACACAAAATAGCTTTTCTCTGTGTTGCTAGAGGCTCACCACGACCTCACATCACCTGGTTTAAGGATGGAGCGGAAATCTACAGCCATCTGTACCTTCACGTAAGGGACAGCATGTTAAAATACACAAGTAGCGTGGTGATTTGTGATACAAGTGTGAATTTAATTTGAAGCATAAGATGCTGACCAAATAAGGGATATTCCATATGAACACGTCTTAGGATTAACACAACGCTTGCAATAGTGAAAAACAATCAGTCAATTATTTTCCGATTATTTTACCAATTGCAAGCGTTGCGGCAAGTCAGCATTACGTTCATTGTGAAATTAACTTAAGAATGATTAATGAATAGACAGAAGAACATTCGCACGAGTTGCTCACATTAGTTTCACAACAGCTATGCTTAAATGTTTATTAATCGAAAATTCAACTTTTACTATGTTTACGGAAAGTACAAAATCATTTACGTCCGTGTCGTAAATGCATTAGTGACTTGGGGTGATGCCACAAGGGATGCACCGCGAAACGTACGCAACGCGTGTAACGATCACTACAATATTTTTCTATTATTTGTGACTATTGCAAGGGTTGTGTACATCTGGCGTTCCACTCATAGTAGCATAACCCTTATTAAGAAGTCGATTCCACTTATAGTAATGTATAGCAATGTATAGAACAAACATTGCAAGCGCAGTGAAATCCCTATCTTGCTTTTCGGGTGGAAACGGCTTCCTTTAAGAAGCGCATTGTGCATTGTGTTAAATATATGAAAGTGTCCTATAATCTATAGTATGGGCCAAATTATTTAGGAATTGAGGGTTACACGTACAAAAAATTTTCATTGAAAAAATCTAGTGTATGCGCGCGGAAATGTTTTAGGATTTCCAGTGGAATTCTACTGAATGATCTTTCTTTTTGCCAATTTTATCAAAAAATTGCCGAGCTTTTCTATGTATTCCTCTCTATATTTTGTCATATGATCAAAAATGGAATTCGGGTAAAGCTAAAATTTACCGTCGAGTTCGCAGTGTAGTGAGATAAAAAATTCAAAGAGAATTAGCTGTTAGGGAGACAAAATCCCGTAATGCCCAGCCTGAATTCGAATACAGATGTCCCACACTGCAATAACTCCAGTCGTATTCTAAGATAGATATGTCCAAATTGTAAGACCAAATTGTCAGCATTTTCAAATATGCAAATAGATCTGAAAATCTAAGAACAGTCGTGGAACTGATTGCTATTATTTTGAGTGATTCAGTGCTGACAGGATGGCGATGAAGGGGGAGGGATTAACCATAAATGTTTTTGATCATTTTTGGAACCGTCCATTTTGATCCTTCGGCCTAGGCCCTTATAATCTGACTTATATTTTAACGCTTAACTATTTTGATGGAATTTTGGGTGTGACCTATTATGGAGCGAACCAATTCTTCCCGACCAATCTTCCCGACCGATTCTTTTCTTTCTGTTCATTCGAACAGAAATTGGAATATCTGTATAGAATATTTTTATATTTGTCGCTGGACTTATTCAAAAAAAGAAAGTAAAAAAATGATCGATTTTAGAGAAAATCCCTGCGGGGGTCAGTGAAAAGGTTAAAATGATCGTCAGAACAAAGGGGTAGAAAGCCGCAGCCTTCGGGGTCAAATATGAATGTCAAAGTAAAAGGGTAAGAATACAATAGTTAAAATGTAAGGGTCAAAACAAAGAAAAAGCGAATACAAAGATAGGAATGTGAAGGGTAAAACCCACCATCTCTCTCCCTCTCTCTCCCTGGCTCACTCTCGCCCCCTCTATTCCCTCTCTCTCTCCCTCTACCCCCTCATTACCTACTCTCGCCGTCACGCGCCCCCTCGCCAGTCCCCCGTCCGCCCTCTCTCCGCCCTCTCCATCTCTCACCCAAACTCCCTCACACCCTCAGTCCCCCAACCGCTCTCTCTCTCTCTCTCTCTCTCTCTCTCTCTCTCTCT